ATATGTATATCTATATATTATAAACATGCTCCTTCTTTTACTAAAAAATTTTTACGTATTTTTTTTGAGGCAGGAAGGGAGAGGATCCCTCTTTTCAATTTTTTGTCACAAGTTGTCACAATGATTTGACGCGTGTAAGCTTTGTGAACACACTATGTTGCTATAATACTTTAGCACAATTGTCACGCTTTTGTCACTCTCAACCAATCTTTCTACAATTTTAATTCACAACAATCAGCATACTACTCACAAATTATAATAAGAACACTTATGCATGTATAGAAAACATAAGAAGCCTAATTGTAACAATAAATCTACTAATAAAATTAATAGAGCTAATTACAATTGAAGCTACCATTGGAAAAAGTAGTATTTACCATTTTTTAATTTTTTCATCAATTTTTTTACAGAAAAAAAGACACAATATATTTTCTATAGTACAAATATACCTCATTGAATTTTTTGGTAGTGTAAGGTATTGTGTAAAGTGTGCAAATGCAAAAATTGAAAAGAGGGATTCTTTGAAAAGAGGGATCACGTTACAGTATGGTCATTGGTTTGCGAACTATCCCATTGTCACGTGATATACTGAGCCGCATAAAAAGTCGTATTGAATCTTCTGAAAGCCTTTCCCGATACCATACAGCGTAGAGTCATGCAACAAGTGAAACTAAACTCAAAAGACACCTTGACAATCTACTTCTTAGCGTCTCATCTTCTTCTACCGCTGTCTTAAATACTGGGAATGCTCACATGAGGGCCACTAGTTCAGCTACAATGCGACTGGTATGCTATTTGTTGACACTCTAGAATGCGCCACCAACAAGAACGGCAAAAGTCATGCATCAAATAATCGGCACGAAGGGACGAAAGAAAATTTATAGGTCAGATGTCTCAAGTCGTAATCATTGCGGAGCGTTTATGTTGGACTTCTGCAAATTCTAGGTCCCCTGTCAAAGCCATGTAGGAAAGATACCTCCCTGCCACCGCCGCACGGCGAATCCAGGGTTTCTGTACCGGTGATGTAGCATGTAAAACGAATTAAGAGAGCGTGAATATCACTAATCCGTACAACTGAATCTCCCCTTTATCAAGGTATGCGGCATCATCGGCCTTTTTCAACTGATACAAATACTCCCAATCCGTATAGGTGAATCTCCATTTTATCAAGGTATGCAGCTTTATCAAACCTTTTCATTAATACTACTAGTAGAGCCCCCTCTCCACACACACCCCTCCCGCCCCCCAACCATGGGATCCTTACTAGAGTCCTCGTCGTTAAGCGACAAACAAACCTCTGGCGACGACAAATTTCATCTCACCACCGAAACGGTGAATGAGGTCGATGAAGCTGCACAGTTCTCAATCCAGGGCACGATTGACCCTAAAGAGGCCATTAGAGTCCGGTATGTTGCGTATTGCAGTTTATTCGATATCACGATGCTTACTTTATTCGCAGGCGTAAGATAGATCTGCATATTCTCCCTCTCATGTGCAGTGCGTACATTGTCGAGGGCTTCAGTCTATATCGCGGTCCTCATCTAATGCATTGTAGTCGTCTACTGGATTACCTACATGGATAAAACCACTCTTGGCAGCTCTGCGATTCTGGGCCTTAAGACGAGCACGCATCTAAATGCTACTCAATACAATTGGCTTGGTACAATCTTCTATCTCAGTTACCTCGTCTCCGCATTTCCGCAGAATCTAGCACTTCAACGCTTTCCCGTCGGCAAGTGGTTGAGGTAAGTTAAGCTTTGATATGTCATGGCATGCTCCCATACTTAGTTCATGTCACTGGAAACAAGTGCAAATATTTTCGTTTGGGGCATTACTTTATGCCTTCATGCAGCTTGCAAGAATTTTAATGGCCTCTTCGTCGTACGCCTCATTGTGAGTTCCGCTGCTACCTGAAAGGTTTGATCCTGATGCATGTACAGCTTGGCGCGTGTGAAGCGTGTATCACCACCGGATTCATGATTGTCAGTGCGATGTTCTACACGCGCAGGGAGATAACACTTCGTATCGGCTGCTGGTGTGGGTTACCTTCTTGTGTCTTTCCATCCAATCATCTCTCAGCTCGCCTTTAGACTTGATGAACGGGATTGCAGAGATTACGGGTGGTTTTCTCGCCTTCGCAGCATTGCATATCAAGACAGCGAATTTTGAGCCTTGGAAATGGCTGATGATCATTTGCGGGATAATAACCATTGTCGCTGCGGTTTGCTATTGGTGGGTCATATTATTTCTGGACACCCACAAGGATCCTAGACTGTACCGACATTATTTGTAAAGGTTCCTTTTCCCGGATTCGCCGACAACAGCATGGTTTCTGACACCCGAAGAACGCGTGATCGCCGTGAATCGCGTCAAAGCCAATCAGACAGGTGTCGGGAATAAGCACTTCAAGAAGGGCCAGTAAGCAGTGTTCTTTGTTTGCTCTGGAAATTTCTGGCTCAGTCGATGTAATTTTTAGGATGCTTGAGTGCCTCAGGGACCCAAAGACATGGATATTCGCTATCTGCGCTGGAATTAAAAGCGTTTTCAATTCCCTCACGAACCAGAACAGCCTTATCATCAAATCTTTCGGATTCACTGAGTTACAGACCACACTGCTCCTTTGCGCTACCGGGTGCGCTTCGATTTGAGCCAGAAATTCTTTCGCCCGACTAACATCATGCCCAAATTCAGAGGAATCAAGATAACTTCCGCCCTTTCAGGAGTAGCGCTCGCTACATACTTCGACAACATCGCATACGTTGGGGCCGCGTACTACATATCAACGGTAATTGGGTCAATCCTCGTTAGCACTCTGCCGTGGTCAGACAAGGTTGGCTTGCTCATAAGCGAATATCTCGTTGGCGTAGGTGGAGCGGCAGCTCCGCTTGGACATTCGTGGGTTACGCAGACGACAGCGGGACACACCAAACGCATCACAATGAACGCAGTATGGTTCATCGCGGATTCCGTTGGAAGTGCTATCGGTCCGCAGATGTGGGTAGATCAGTTTGCTCCTCGGTATGTTGGCCCCTCTCTTCTCGACCCCGTCGCGGTTTGTTACTTATGACAACTCGATTCGTGTTTTTTTCATAGTTACCATGTCCCTTGGGCCATTCTTTCCATATCCCACACGGGCGCCAGTCTGCTTTTCCTACTTCAGCGCTACTTACTCGACAAAGAGAACAAGAGGCGTGACCGAGAACCTCCGGACGATACGTACGATGATGTCTGGGTCAAGATTACAGATGAAAATGGTGAAATTATCAAGAAGAAAATTGACAGGTCCTTCCTCGATCTTACGGACCGTCAGAATCGCGAGTTCCGTTACGTCCTCTGACTTCGTCGCCATGGTGGATGCGGCAGGCGTAGTATACAGAAGCTGAATCCGATATGATTAAAAGAAAAGTGTTTGTAGAACATGTATCTGAAAGCAAGAAACAGAGCGTTCGAGAGCGTTTTTGTAAGAGTATCTTCCTGGTCTACATGTGGAATTATCATCGCGTAGCTTGTATTCTTTGGGATCAGAGGACTGAAGGTAACAATATGAAACTGAACTTCGTTATTACATGTAGCTAGGTGCTCATTGTTAGTTCTGATTGATCTAACTTCTGACCTCCGCAAATGAGACTTGGGCCATCAATAACGATTGCATTACCATCCACTTAGCACAGGAAAGCGGTAAATCGGCCAAAATACAGCGGTACTCACATCATACCTCGTTCCTGTCAAATAAGCGGGTAGCTGTAGAGGTAGAGGCCATGGAGAGTCGTATAGTATCTTCCTCCACTATTTATAATCTTCTAGGTTTTAAGCAAAAGTCACAATCGTTCATAGGTGGACATGAACAGAGCACGAGGAGCAAGACTTAGACATAATTTTAGTAAGGATCTCATCATTCAGTAGTTTCAACTCACTATGTTTAAATGTTCGACAAACCAAGAAAGAAAATGCCAACGGTATCAAGCTTAAATGATAGACAATAAAAACATCGAGCGGGCAGCAGCAACAAATATAGTGATGATACTCTTATGTTCGAGACACTGTAGAATAGAGAAAATGGGTCGTGTCACAACGTATCAACAGGAGATTATGTACTGAAATTAATATAAAATAAAACAGAAACAGGATAACCCTAATCGATGCAGTTGAGAGACTGCCATCCTCAAGCCAAAGATGTGTCTTCGTCGTACGAGGCTGCTCTAGGAGCACCTGTAATGTATTAGACGTAGTGCTCCGCGCGTAGCGTATACGCTTACGCGCGTAAAATTTCCCACGTATACGCATACGCGCGTATAATTACGGGCGTAAACTGGGTCAGCAGGACCCATATACGATACGCTACTTCCGTATACAGCGTATACGGCGTATACGCTGTGCCAAATATAAACATTAAAATAGCTCATAAAAGTACACTATCATCTTTCAAAACAAATGCTTGATATTACTGAGCTAAGAAAATGTATTGTAGTGCTGTTTACACACAGAAATAAGACAGTTGAGTGTTGTGAGTTAATATCACGTGACAGCTCTAAACCTTCATGTGATGTATCGTAGTAACCATACTAACTGTAGTACTCATACTAGTACTTTTTAAGTTAAACAAGGTTGTTATATAGTATTAAAAT